AAAGTAGAAATGTTTCTCGGCTAGAAAACTGGCAACAAAAGGTGCATGCATGCAAAGTAGAAATGTTTCTCGGCTAGAAAACTGGCAACAAAAGGTGCATGCATGCAAAGTAGAAATGTTTCTCGGCTAGCTAGAAAACTGGCAACAAAAGGTGCATGCATGCAAAGTAGAAGGATCGGCAATTCCTGCAGATGTCGAGTTTTGACACGGCGAATGAAGATACACGTTCAATAAAGTCGGTACATTAGGCACAAACAAGACTTAAAATGCTTTGTTTAAGGGTCAGGAGTTGCTTCGGGAGGAAAAGGGTTAAAATTATAACCATTTGTACTAGTTGTTCGTCTTCGATAATGATGTATGCTAGAACCGATAGAAACAGCTGCAAAACCACTGAATGGCTCAACACTTAGAGATCTAAAAGATGAAGAATGAATCACAGATCATACAACAGATGGTAGGCTACTTGAGGAGGTGACTTGGTAGGTGAGTACTAACAACCTAGGCCGTCAAGGCGAGTACTGTACTCGTAAAGGTAACAGAACGAGGGATAACTCCACACCAGAAAGGTAGACATAACCTGGTTGGACAAAAACCTGTTACAAAGAACAGTGGCAGCATAGATAACAGCAATAGGCATTGACGGCGTATATCATGCAATGAAAGGCCCTAAGTAGACAGGAATGGAGGATTTTTGTTGAAGCCACTCATGTCTGGAGAGTAAGTAACCATTGTGCTATTGAAGARGATTACTGCTGAAAGATGAGATAGCTACCGATGTATTTTAGAGTGCACCAGCTTATTTCAACAGACTCTAGCCACCACTCATTRTAAAGTTGTGTTATTTCCTTGATGTAGTGTTGTGTCCTGGTCGTTTGTTGTTGCTGTTTTTGTTCAGTACATGTTTTTATGATTTATTTTTGTAAAATATTTTATGTSCAGGGTAACTTACAAAAAACGGCAGTAACAGTCACATTCATAAATGTTTAAAGAACTCTGGATCAATTAAAATACATAATATAAAATTACTAAGTATAATTATATTTATTAATGTTAGTGATCTTATTAAAAGAAGAGGAAATATAAACTACAGGTATTGTTAAAATCATAAACCAAAGAGGACCTTCCTTTACAACACGGTGTTTATAAATTAACAATGGTAAAGCAGTGAGCAGCTCGTCAAATTTTAAAAGCTTTTGCACAAAAATTTATGCGAGGATGAATGTTTGCTAACTTTCACATCATTGAAAATAAATTACACTTCTAAGGTTTATCGCTTTGAATGACCAATGGTGTCATAATTGAATTGATTGTGTATCTTTTATCCGACGGTTCTAAAGAGCTGTTCTTTGTTATACCATATATTAAGTATAAAATATAAAATTGGTTTAAAACTCGCTGTTAACTTTCCTCTCCTTTCTGCTCGCAAACTGTAACATTGCCTTCTGATGCTAACCAAGTAACATCTATAAACAGATTTAACCGCGCCAACCCAGGCCTTGGAAAAGTACCTCGAATTCCGAATCGTGGTTGTGTAAGTTACTCAGCTGGGAGCGGGAAAGCTGTTGAGAAGGTTAAAATACGAGCCAAGTCRGTATCATTTGGTGAAGGGGACCAGTTGCAAAAAGATCGGTCACAAAGGCATTTTGAAGCCGTTCGAGCTACGTTACCTCAAGGACAAGAGAACTACGGCACTTTACAAAGAAAGCAAAAAAAGAAMTACGAAGAGCCTGAGTATGCTGAAATCCATACGATTTCTGCTGAAAAACGACCAGGTCACCTAAGGTTCACCGAGTACAAGTCCATTCCGGCTGTTCAACAACGTTCAGTAGCTTACGAAATGTGCAGTACGGACTTTGGAATGTCTACCTTAAGAAAGAACAAGTCGACTCCTGACATCGCCTTACAACCACCAGCCGGCCTAATGTACTTTTCGAGAGAACAAAACGTCGCAGACCATGCATTGTTGCCACGACATGAACATATGGCAACATTAAGAAAWGCAAAATCAAATCCAGCAGTCGCACCAGCAGAACAAGGCATTGCTTTAAGACCAGATGGGTTACCGTACAGAGCCKCACAGATATCATGCAACAGCTCTGATGTTGACAACTCTGTCTATAGATCTRCAACAAGAGGGTTTGAACAAAAATCTGATCTTTCTCCCCCCTGCTGTACCACAGACACATTGGACCGCAGACAGAMGAAACATCGYCCTCGCCGCCCTGCAACAGCTCATGAATGCAATATAGATGATTTCTATGAACAACATGATACATTTGCTGTGGAAAGAAATAGGAAAGCCAATGCAGATTATTTCAATGCAGTGCATAAASAAAGTGCTAATGTGGGACAATCGTCTATTCCTCTTGGATATCGAACTGCTAGCTATCGCATTGCTGTGACAAGTCCAAGACACAGTAAATTGCTGGGCGCTTTAACAAATGTTCGATATGACGACATAACTGAGTCGGACCCGCAAATTGCCAATCAAAGCAAAAATCTGTCTTCAATTAAATGTGATGTTTTATCTAGAACACTAAGAAAGAAAACTGATGTCCAGAATGATGACTATGTTAGCATGGAAAATCTCACAAACTTATTATCGACACGAGATAGAGCTCARCAAACCATGGTAGGTCCTTCACTTGCTTTACCCAATCAACGACAAGTTTATGATATCTCCAAAGTACAACAAACTCGAGCAACAAAGCCAGTTCCCATCCCTCATTCTCAAACAGAGGCGACTGCATTGAAGAGCATCTTGAAGAACCGTGGAAAATATACAGTAAATAACAACCCCTCAGACTCTCCCATACCGACTATGCGAGCCTCAGCAGTAGAAAGAAATGGAGTTCTTTTAACTTCATTCCCTGTCGATGGAAACATTKYGACAACTGTTGAAAACAGTTGCACTAAAGCTGCATTTAAGGGMACAGTTWTTCATCACACTGCGCAGGTCCACCGGCCAAGCCTTCCTCTCAATCCTATCAATCAATGCATAGCTAATTCACTAAACAGCCCAGATTCAGATCCCAAAAACTGGCCAGCACCACCACCACCCTTGGAATGTGTTCTAGATTCAGCCTCCATTACACCTGGACAAGGCGAGGTAAAGAGTATACCATTTCCAACAAGACCAGCTCCACCCGTTCCCAAAAAGACATCACCAAGAAAAGTAGCAGCTCCTCAGRAAACACACACTCAGTCTCATTCTCAATCGAAAACCAACAGCAAATGCAATGAACCGGCCAGCGGCGAGTTGCTAGAGTATCTAAGACGAATTGCCAAACATGGACCCGATAMGTCTCCTAGTAGATGTTCTCAAGACAGTGATGCTATGACTCCAGAATCAGAAACTTCTGAATGGTCGAGGTTCACACAAAGCAACTTTTCTGAAGATGACTACTTTAGCGATGATGATGATGAGTTTGACGATTTCGATGAAACTGAGTGTGATGATGATGATGATGATAATGAAAGGTGAGCATCCAAGAAGCATCTGTCAGTCATATGCATAAGGTGATGTAAAGCGATTTCGCGTCATAGAGACTTTCAAGCGCAGGATTGCAAGCATTTATTCAGCAACCTACATCTTAAAAACACAAATTGTTTTTTTTTTAAATCACAACAGTCTCTTTTCATAGATACTATTTTTTACTCATTACCAGAAGTCTTATATCAGGGTAGAATCAACATGGGAAGGAGCGGTTGTTTTGATCTTCCCGATGGGTAGCGATATTGGGATTTATTTCGTCATCATCNACCCGATAAGTCTCCTAGTAGATGTTCTCAAGACAGTGATGCTATGACTCCAGAATCAGAAACTTCTGAATGGTCGAGGTTCACACAAAGCAACTTTTCTGAAGATGACTACTTTAGCGATGATGATGATGAGTTTGACGATTTCGATGAAACTGAGTGTGATGATGATGATGATAATGAAAGGTGAGCATCCAAGAAGCATCTGTCAGTCATATGCATAAGTGATGTAAAGCGATTTCGCGTCATAGAGACTTTCAAGCGCAGGATTGCAAGCATTTATTCAGCAAGCTACATCTTAAAAACACAAATCGGTTTTTTTTTTGAAAATCACAACAGTCTCTTTTCATAGATACTATTTTTTACTCACTACCAGAAGTCTTATATCAGGGTAGAATCAACATGGGAAGGAGCGGTTGTTTTGATCTTCCCGATGGGTAGCGATATTGGGATTTATTTCGTCATCATCTGCAGAAAGTAGCTTTCACGATGTTAATATCTTGTCGGTTGCTGACCAAATAAACTGCGAGACACAATAAAAGAAAGAAAAAAGAATCAAATAAAGAAGGAACTCTTGATAACCCAACAATAACCATGATGCTTTGCGGGGTCAAAATGAATTAAGAACTATATTTGCCCAGTTTTGTGTTCGTTTTGTGTTCTCTTCTAAAGCTTCCAAACCATATAAGAACGTAGCAATCGAATTTTCTATGAAACATTTTGGTACTTAGAGGAAAAAAAAATCAAAATGATCTTTGGTGACGGCGCGAGCATGCATTGCACTGATATTTGGTGTAAATTCACATTTTCAAAATGAATTTCACGTTATTTGTTTACAATATAGTTCTGTCCAATCTTTTTCTCGAGCGAGAAAGCGACAGTTACTTATTTTGAAACATCAAATATATATACCATTTTGCTAACCAACTCCATGGTAGAATTATATTATTACAATTATTTTATCGGATATTTCTTATAAAATGCTGTTTTGGAGTTAAAGAAAATGTACTCAAAGAATAAATTTTGTTGATTAAGTAATTAAGAAATGTTGTTAAAWTAAATGCGTCAACGCAAAACTATGATCGGAATGTTTAAGTGTGACGAATTTCTCGTAAAGCATCATAGACATCACGTGACACGACATTTAAAGATTGTAAAAAAACATCTAAAACAACCGCAATGCAATGTAAACCAATGAATAGTATATAAACCTAACGTTAAATTTGAAACCGCTGTTGTAAGGGTAGGTCAAATCTTAAAATCATGTTACCTTTGAGTCGTTGTGTATTGTTATCAGTAACTGAATCTGCATGCCGCATTTCCTTTCATAGTTTTGAATACTACATAACATTCTCAGTACCAACACCTCAGCTAAATTCATATTTTTGTTGAAGTGTTCAAAGGGAAACGTCAAAAAAGAAATCTAGCCGAAGGCCGCCTGCGCCGTCCAAACCCCGTTTGCCTCCAAAACCAGTCCCTAGTCTACCAAAGTGTAAAACGCTATATCCATATGACGCTGCTGATGTTGATGAGTTGACATTCCAACCTGATGAGGTCATCGAAATCGTTAAAGAAGGTAAGCCTTCAGCCAGMGCAACCAAGCATGTACCAATGTGTGGTGTGACCTTGCATTACCATATTCTCCTTAATGAATTATCCCTGTAAACTGTTCTATTTTGTCAAACTCATTTATGATTTTATATTTGTCCAGGTGGTTGACGTTGTTTATCCACTTCTAATACAGAAAATCTTAAAAAACACGACTGTTGCTTTKCATTCTCGCAACTCATGACTTGCTTTCCATGTCAGATGAATAATTAATCAATCTGTACTTTATAATGGACGACTAACTTCGTAGTGTACTTAATTAATTTTATTATTTGTATTTGAATTGAGTCGTTTACACGTTCGTCCCTGTGATGTATGGGCTTTACGAACTGCGGCCGCTCTCCTTGACAGAGATCATGTTAGGTTTGYTGAGCGATTTTATGTATTTTCTTACGTAGATCCCTCAGGCTGGTGGACAGGCAAGCTTCGAGGAAAGGAAGGTCTCTTTCCATCAAACTATATCGAGAAGATTTAATCAAAATAATATAATTTTAGAAAATAAATGTAATTTAGCAAGATTTTTTTACTTGTTTTACATTTGAACTATGAACGGTGTGGTRTTCAGCTTTAGTTTTGTCATTGAAACGTTTTTAATCGGTTTGTCTCTCTTTGTACTTTTGACGTCACAGCAGCCATATTGGTGTACACCAGACAAAAGATTTCGTAAGCTTCTTTTGTCGTGAGTACCAGCATGGCTGCTAATTTTTTTTTTGTTTGTTTGTTTTTCATTAACCATGTAGGATTTGTTATCAAGTGACGGAAAACTATGTATATTTACTGTCGAATGAATTATTATCTCATTGACCTCGAGACCGATCGAGTGGTGTAATTGATTTAGCATCCACCAAACTATACGACAAATGTGAAAGAAGAGTATTCAAACAAAACTTTTCTCGACATTATTCGCTCTCCTTAAAGCGACTTTTATAGCCAATCAGAATGCTTGATCTRTGATAGTGCGTAGTTTGGTGGATACTAATATTTATGTTTGGTTCGAGTAGAACAAGAATGTTTCCGTGTTCAAAGAAGCCCGCTGTGAAGTGTTGCTGAATACGATGTCGAATAATATCATACCATTTCTTATTAGAATCAATTATTCAGCTTTCAAATTAATGTATTTATTTAAATCCCACACGTCAAATTCAATGGAATTTTAATTAGCATTGCAATAACAAGAAGATATGTGAACGACAGGTTACATGAATACTATATTAGATAGAAATAATGTGTCATTGGTCTTATAAGAAAAATGAATAAACCCAATCATATGATGCATGTGTGTTGCACGCTATTTTGATAATGACAGAAGGTTGGAATGTAACAAAAGCAGTGCGATACAATACTCCAGTTTCGAATTCTAGTGCTCTGTGTTAGCCTCATTTGTGCGCAAAATATTCCTAATTGTGAGAATCAAAGTGTGAGATTTTAAATCAATTCTATTGTCTTTCTTCAAAAAATTCCATGCGTTTTCTCGAGCTATCTATGGAACAAAAGAATATATTACTTGGTTTTGAGGCTAACACAGAGCAAACCAGAACTCGAAATTGGAGTATTCGAAATAAGTGCGATATTTCTATATAGATGGGTGAGGGGGATGGATTCTTATACTAATCATGGGGCAATACCAGGAGCCCATTACTTGGAGCTTTACTCTTCTGAATAGGGTCTTAGAACGGCATTTACCTCTCTTGGTTCTGTTTTGAGAATTGATCATTGTAAATTCAGCGCGAAATAGCTAAGTAGTTGTTGTGAAAGCGAAAATTTCAAATTACTTGTTCAAATATAAAATTTGCTCTAAGAACACGGCTATTCACTTCGGCATCTCAATAAGCGCGGTTGGGGGATGTCAGGTAARTCTAAAAATAGCGCCAAGAGGGGTAAATGCCGTTCCCAAACCCCATATGTGGAGAAAGGCTCCTAGAAATGGGCTCCTGGTATTGCAATACTGTAAACAGTTAAAGACGTTCTAGTCCTTGCAAGTTGGCTACTTTGTTCTGCAGTTTTGCTATTTTTTCCTGCAATCTCATTACTTTTCCTTCCAGCCTCAACATTTCTTTTTGAGCGCCTGTCTCTGGCACCGGCTGACATATCGAGTTTTTACGACTCATACTTCCGTGGTCTACTCGAATATTGTSCGAKTCGATCGCAGTTGATTTATTGTCGTTACCMCTTTTCAATAGATTACTTGAAGGTTTTGAAGTATCTGCTGGCACTTTATCAAACGAACTACCATCTTTCTTGAAGTTAAACGAGGAACTTAACTTTGTGCTTTCAAAAGAATTCATACGTTTTTGAATGTCTCTTTTCTCGTTTGATTTCTGGTCGTTTGAATCGTTGGATTTAAAYAGTGGTGAGATCAGAGTCCAGAAATATATCCACAATGAAATGCTGCAAGCGCCCATTTTAGCCCAAACAGAAGTCCAGGATGGTTTAAAAGTCTTACTTCCAGGACTGTACCAGTTTGTTAGGTTTATCATCATACTAAGTGACCCAAGGAATAGTAGAAGATGAAAAAACGAGTAACTATAGCCATGCTCTTCTTGGTCTTCTCTCTCTTTTGTGACTGGCCAAATTCCTGAATGTAGACATGTGAATATATATTATATATTTTCTCTTATCACAGTAGGGTTTTTTCTCAACAACCGTTGCATTCATTGCATGCAGATTCAGCAAATTCTATATTGTTTTTATTAATTTGTCGTTGAAAAAAAAATTACAAATGCTAGTTGACTTACAGTCCAACATAAACTCATCTAAACTGGGTCTCTGTCCTCCCTTCTACGGGACCCTTTCTACGCTAGTGATGTTAGGGGAGGGCATATCATATAAAATGGGAAAAGTTGACTTACGTTGTTTCAGTCTTTCTTGAGAYGATGCGAAGCTACCGTAGATTAGCAGCACAAACAGGACTATAGTATTGATAAGGGCTTGTGAACTTATTCCTGTTTGGAGGTTTGWCGGAATTGTCTTATTACAGGTGTTGTAAGGCTGATATGAAACCGCGGTCCAAGTCATWAGCAGCGCAAACAGTGTCACAATAGAAGTCTGAAAGGAAGCTAAATATGGAGTAATTTTGAGTGGTGGGGTCTGTCGGTAGATTAAAGTGAGGTTGTTGGTAATTTATTGGGTCAGTGGTTTGATTCAGATCCTGAAGTCAGTACTACTTGCACTTTTTTTGGCCTCCTTTTGACTCGCTTCAGAACTCAAAAGAAAGAGGGTCCAAGATAATTCCATGCGCATGTCAGCATAGTGACCTCGCGTTTCCATCTTGATAAGAGAAGGTCCGATGGAAAGTCATTTGCATCTGTGGTTATTACAGCAGTCTAAGCCATTATTCTAGAACTCATTGATAACCCATGAGCTATTAGTCCAATGAGCATCGAACTGTTGGGTCACATGATGGGCCTTTATATCTGATAAAGTACTGATGTTTTATTAATAAATTCTATATCGACTATATCAGATATATAGAACTGATGTTTTATTAATCAGTTCTATATCAGATATAAAGAACTGATCAAGTTCATCAGCGCTTTATCGCAACCCAACACTAGCAAAGGTCTCAGTTTTAATGTCGCATCATAGACCTTTGCTAGGTTCTAAATCTTGAATCAATGTGCCGACATGCACTATAGCTAGACTAGCCGTTCTTTCATGTGGGATCAAAATTTTTTCAATTGTGGCACAATGCACATGCTCAGTAGAATTTCAATATGCATTGTCACTGTTTTCGCATTTTTTAGCTTTTTTTCTAAAATGATAACAATTTCTGAATGTTGGAGTTCTAGAGTTCTCGAGTGCGTGTTTTATCGGGTATATAGATTCTCGCCTGCGGCTCGAATCTATATATCCCGATAAAACCGCACTCTCGTTCTATAAACAACACAAAAAACTTTATTTTCTCTCGCAAATTTTATATTTTTAAATCATGTTACTTTTGAGATACGTTTATTAACAACCTTAGTCTATAATATTTACCGTTCGCTGCTCGGTGTAGATATAGAAGAGTGTCGGCTGAATGGGAGTGTCTGATCCCATTTCCCAGTCTACTTTTTGTCAAAAATCCGACATTACAATTTACATATTTTTGTCAAAATGACACACTCATTCAAATGTGTAATTTTCTAAACAAAAAAATGAATTAACATTTCTGAAATGCTAATTTTGTGACCTTTTAGGTTGTTTATGTTTAGTTATGTCGTTTTTGTACTACACAAGGCTTTTTCTAGTGGAAAACTGTACTAAAACGAGTCATTTTTGAATAAGATTGCTATGCCAATATTATCGTTTATATATCGCGTCGACGCAAACAATGACGCGAARATCTATATTAAAATTGCTGTTGTTACAAAAAACGTAAACAAAGTTGAAATGCTGCCAATTCCACACTGGCCTTGTGAATTCAAACGGTTCGCTACATGTGGGCTGTTCATCTCATTATTTCATTCGGTATTGTTATTAGTTTACCTGCATTTGAATGAGCCTTTTTGATTGCTGGTACCATCGACAAACAACATGCAGCGATACAATGACATACTATGAAGATGATAAAGAACTTGTTTGTCGTACAGCTCCCACTTGATTGGATGTAAAGCATAGCCGTACAGACCATTGTCGCTAAATACAAAACAAACGTCGAAAACAAGACCACGACTCTCCTGTTGGACAAAACAGTTTGATTGGTGTTTATTTTTTCGGAGTGTCTAAACGTCAGGCAGTCTAATTTTTTTTATAAAATTTTCGGAGCAACCGTAATTTCAATTAAAACAACAAGGGAAATGCAATAAAGACCGAAATAATACTGTTCGACAAGTTTGTATAGTCACAAGCACGGCACTTTAAGATTTTTCG